TGCCTTATCCTGTACGGTGCCTTTCTTATGCCGGCCATAGACGGTTCGAAAATCGGCCGATTTTTCGTCCGAAAGATTAATCAGCCGATTTTCGCACTGTTAGTGGGTTAATTCGCCGGCCTTTGCATTTTTTCAACTTTTAGATTATCAGTCATGTTGGAAAATTTGTGGAAAATGACCGATTTTCGCTTCAATGATGGCCAAATCGCACGATGGTTCTTACTAAAAAAAATACGTGCATGAGCCGTGACAGAAGTTTTGCCTGTTATATGGGGTGATCTTTATGACTTTATGACTGGGAGTGCACGACAGTGCAGATCCTGGAGTCATGGAGGATCTCAGTGTATATGCTGCTGATGCCTGTCTTTGCAAGCCCAAGCGTGCAACTCTGCAAGGGAGGAGAGAAAGGAACTTGTTGAGTAGCACACAACTGCACCAAAAATACACAGATGTTGTCAGGAATGGACTAGCCAGCAATGGTAGGACTCACCTGCCTTTTGATCTGCAGTACCAGGGCTGGCCAGCGGGTGCTCCCAGCAATCAGAGACTCAACTTTGCAGCCAGCTAACACCTGGAACTGATTATGCTGGGGTATTTAAGGGATGGCCAGACTTGCAGACTCTGCCTTGGTGTTGTGTTCTCTTGGGCCCTGTATCCTGTTCCTGCTCTCTGTCTGTCTGATTCTCTGCTGACCCTGCTCTGATCCCTGGCTTGTCTGACCATCCCTCTGCCTGACCCTCTGTACCACGCTGCTTGCTACCTGTTCTGATCCCTGGCTTGTGACCCTGACCATCCCTCTGCCTTACCCTCTGTACTACGCTGCTTGCTACCTGCTGAACCTGGCCTGTGACCCCGACCAATCTCCGCTTGCTCCCCCTGTACCTACCTGCCCTATTGATATTGACCTGGCCTGCCTGACGACGCTTGCTTTGTATGTACTGTTATCTGTGGGTGGTTGGTTTGGTTTGGTTTGGTTGCACTGTATTATGTTTTAGTATTGCACTGCGTTTATGTTTGTATTGTTAGTGTTAATAAATTATATTGTTTATAACATATCTGAGGTCTGCGTTTCCCTGCGTCAGCCACACACCTCTGGTCACACCTGGGAGCCCTGACAGATGTCTTGTGTGGCCACCAGGTTTGACTGAAGTGTAGTGCACTTGGTAAATTGTCAGGGAACTGTGCAATCTGCTGCTGGGATGTTGTGTGTGTGTGTGTGTGTGTGGCTCTGGGGGGGTTTTGGTGTGGTGTCACTTTGACATTTAGTTCCTGGGCTCTTATTATCTATTGTTGGAGCTGTACATTGCTCTTTTCTCTGCGGTCTGCCAGGTTCAGTGCTGCCCTGGTGATCACTCTTCTTTCCATGCTACCCAGTTTGAAATTGCTTGTTGCAAGTTTGTATTCATTTATATTGGTGTATGCATTCGAAATGCAGGAGAAATGAGGAGTAACTGTGCAAAAATGTCTGTTCCAAGGACTTAACATGACATTAAAAATAGGTGTTTAAAATATGCAGAGAATTGACGCTCCTCTGGCTTCCACATAAACTTTGCCCTGCAAACCTGAGCCTGCTTATGCTACATGGTTTGAAAGTATGGGATTTAGTTAGATATTCAGGCAGCCTCATGTCCCCTTTCCTGCCTTTTTTGCCTATCATTAACAGTCCCCTATTTACCTAGATTAGCCTCAGGCATTTTCCTGGAGGGTCTCCCATAGGTTCACGCACGTGTGACATTTTCTGTCAACTCTGTCTTTTCCCATGTGGGCCAGGAAATGCATGAGGCCCCACAGTCGGAGTTTTTCTATTACCTTCATCTCCAACATTGTCATCTCCAACTTATCCCTTCCAGAAGATGCACTTTCAAAATGTCTGTCAACATTCTCCAGGGTTGTCGAGCCTCACTTCTACACGTCATGCTTTCTTTAACTCTATGCATCTTCTGTTCCTCTCTTGTATGTGACTCAGTGGAACAAGACTTCGCGGTTGAGGTAGAACAAGCGGACTGGAGCAAGGCCTGGTCTTCCATGGCAAAGTGTTCATTTAACACCACTACCCATGAAGCTGCATACGAAATGCTCCTGCGGTGGTACTGGGATCCAGCCCAGATTGCCCATGCCAATTCTAGTTACAGTGACTGCTGCTTTTGAGGTTATGACCATCATGGGGATGTTTTGCACACTTGGTGGACATGCCCACGCTTGACAGATTTTTGGTCTCAGGTCTTTGGCTTACTGTATACTTTGTTCCATCTGCTTGTCTGAAAGGATGCCAAATTTACTTCATTACATTGCCCCATCCAGGGACTGTTTGCTCGTCAGAAGAAATTAGCATCCTATTTATTTTTGTCAGCTAAGCAAATGATGATCCAGGCCTAGAACAAACCCAAAGTCTCTTTCCAGACCGTGAGAGACCACATGTCAGCTTTAATGCTCAATGAATACATAAGGAGCATCCTGAAGGATTTTTATGCCCAGTTTCTCAAAATCTGGGAACCTTGGCTCGAGAACACCTTTCCCTCACTTCCTCCAGCTAGCATTGGGCGTTCATGATTTCAATCTTTGACAGTTCCCGAGTCCATGTTTCCCTGGCTCCTTCCCTCCCTTCTTCCTTTTCCCTTGCCTTCCCTCCTTTCATTTTTTCTTTTCTCGTAGGGTCTCCTGTCCACCACCCTACTTCTTCTACATCTGAATTATTACATTATCGGGCAGTCTATTCCTTACGGTCAAATACCTTATGTCTTCAGGTTCCCTTCAGTTGGCTCACACCTACTGCGCCTTTATTAATATATTTACATGTCTTTTGACAATGTGTTATGCTTTGTACTTTCTAATGCTTTGTATCGGATTCCCTGTGTGGGCGGAACTCGTGCTTTCTTTGCCATTTTCTGTAAATTGAATAAAAATTATTGAACCAGAAAATATGCAGAGAATTGGAGATGTAGCTAATGGGAAGCAGATTTCACTGTTTATTTCTGAAGAAACATTTTGTTCCCTTCAGTTTTAATGGCTTCCTATAATAACAAGTTATGGATTTAAAGTTCATCTATAGTCCAAACATTTTTTGTTTGTTGTGGATAGAGTAGGGAAGGTTTTAAATGGGCATCGGCAATAGGCTGATCATGATCTACAGTCAGTCATGGCCATATTGGGGTTTGGAAGGTTTTGTAAGACTTTACTGGGCCCTGGTCTTTTTCTACGGTTGAGAACCACTGACATACATCATCTCACATTATATCACTCACATTCCCTGCAGCCAGGGGCGGACTGACAACTCATGGGGCCCCTGTGTTCTTGCCAAAACTAAAAAAAGCCTATGAAAAAGGTACCAGGGGCATCTCATGGGGCCCCCTACTGACCCTAGGCCCTCGGGCACTGCCCGAGTTTCCGAAAAAATGAGGAAGGGTTGTAACAGCGCAAACACTGCAAAGTCCTGGGAAATGGTAGTATGGGTGATGGTGGTATTAGTGGCTACTGTATGAAGAGCGTAGGATTCCGTGTGGCACTGAGGGCAAGGCTTCCAAATAAGCTGTAGCAACTTCTGTAGATGAGAAAAAGGAGAGAAGCGCCTCTAAGTGCAATAAGTCTTTTAATTCAAGTCTAAATGTAGAAACACTCACATGTGTGAAGTAATCATAAGCATAAAAAACCGTGGTTAACAATCGTTAACGGTGGGGTGGTAACCCGGGTGAAGAGCCGTCATCTCTCTGCGATGTGGGGAGGTCAGCTATCGGCTGGAACAGCGTGGTGGCTGGAGGGGGAACAGCGGTGAGGCCAGCCTTCATGCACGTCCTCCCTCAGAGCCGGATGGAACGCACGCTGGAACGTAGCGGCGGCGTGGCCGTGATGACGTCAGATCCCAGGGTGCACTGCGACGCGTTTCGGAGCATGCACTGGCCGTGGAAGGCGAAAGTGCACTCCTTTTTCAAGCAGTTTCGTGCTTGAAAAAGGAGTGCACTTTCACCTTCCACGGCCAGTGCATGCTCCGAAACGCGTCGCAGTGCACCCTGGGATCTGACGTCATCACGGCCACGCCGCCGCTACGTTCCAGCGTGCGTTCCATCCGGCTCTGAGGGAGGACGTGCATGAAGGCTGGCCTCACTGCTGTTCCCCCTCCAGCCACCACGCTGTTCCAGCCGAGAGCTGACCTCCCCACATCGCAGAGAGATGACGGCTCTTCACCCGGGTTACCACCCCACCGTTAACGATTGTTAACCACGGTTTTTATGCTTATGATTACTTCACACATGTGAGTGTTTCTACATTTAGACCAGAATTAAAAGACTTATTGCACTTAGAGGCGCTTCTCTCCTTTTTCTCACTGCCCGAGTTTCCAAATGGTCAGTCCACCCCTGCCTGCAGCCCATATTCTCAAAGATTAATTAAAATAACGGTATATACCTGTTAGGCCTATTATCCCTGATTCGATTCTGTATATAGCCCTACGAAACAGACAGTGCACAGTCTACATGTGTTTATCTGCTGCTTCTCTAGAAACAGCAACTTTAACCGCTAGCCTACAGGGCACTTCTACCCCCTTCCTGCCCAGGCCAATTTCCAGCTTTCAGCGCTGTCGCACTTTGAATGACCATTGCGCGGTCATGCAACTATGTACCCATATGAAATTTTTAGCATTTTTTTTGTGACAGATAGAGCTTTATTTTGGTGGTATTTAATCACCTCTGGGTTTTTCATTTTTAATTAAAAAAAAACAAAAACCACTGAAAATTTTGAAAAAAAAAAGTTTTTGTTAGAAAATTTTGTAACTAAGTGATTTTTCTCCTTCACTGATATGCGCTAATGAGGCTGCAGTGATGGGCACCGATAGGCTGCACTGATGTACACTGATAGGTGGCACTGATGAGGAGGCACTGGTAGGCGGCATTGATGGGCATTGACAGGCATCACTGATGGACACTGAAAGGCAGCACTGGTACATGGCACTGATAGGCGGCACTGACTGGCACCACTGATAGGCGGCTCTGACTGGCACTGTGAGGCAGCACTGATTGGCACTGATAGGTGGCACTGATTGGCATTGATAGGTGGCATTGACTGGCACTGATGGGTGACACTGAAAGGCAGCTCAGATGGGCACTGATATGTGGCATTGATGTGCACTGGTAGGCACTGATATGTGCCATTGATGTGGAACTGATGGGCACTGGCACGAGGCACTGATGAGCACTGACACAAAGCACTGATGGACACTGACAGGTGGCACTGCTGGGGCTACACTGATCATCAGGACACACTGATCATCAGTGCCCTGATGATCAGTGTACATGTCCCCTCCGCGGAAAGCTGATTACCGGCTCTCCTCTCGAGCTGTCAGCGTGACAGCTCGAGAGGAGAGAAATGCAGATAACCGGCATTTCCCTATTACATGTGATCAGCTTTGATTGGACACAGCTGATCACATGACCAAGCCGACATCTTCAGCTCTTTCCGTGATCGGTGAGCCGCTGTGTCCGAGGGACACAGCGCACTGCCGATCGCCGCGCTCCCTGAGCCGCGCATGCGTGGTGAGAATGGGAGGATATCATATGACGTCCTCCCAGAACGAGAGAACCACCTTGCGTTCATCATATTACTATATGGCGGGCGGGAGGTGGTTAATATAGAGAAAAGACATAGCGTTCTATCATAGATACAGCTACAAACTTGTAAACACTGCCATCCACTGGTTGAAGAATATATCTCTACTGAATATGAATACTGATGTACAGTAGTTGTTGCACAAAAATGCATGAATATTGTATTCCAACAAAAAAACTGTCCTGCTGCTGGACAGTTATACAGTGCTGTATCCTCTGTTGTATCGAAAAATCTTGTAATAAAGCCCCAGCTTATGCTTTTATTTCTAATAAAATGACCCTAGTCTTGCCATTTGAAAATTGTCTGGCTAGTTTTACCCTGCTGTGGTATCTGAGTATTTTACATATTGTAGTAAATCTGTACTTGTGCACTTTGTTTCTAGTAGTTTGGGCCTAAAATTACTATTTAACGCTGCTCTGCCGCTGGCCAGTTTTACACGGCTGTGTCCTTTGTGACCTCTTAATTCTTCTGGTAAAACCTATACCTTCGCTGTTTGGGGTTGATTTACTAAGACTTGAGAGTACAAAATCTGGTGCAGCTCTGCAGAGAAACCAATCAGTTTCCAGTTTTTTTGTCATTGATTAATTGAACGAGGTGAAGTTAGAAGAGTTAGAAGCTGATTGGCTACTATGCACAGTTGCACCAGATTTTGCTCTTTTAGTAAATCTACTTCTATGTCTCTCTTAAATTTTTGCCTAAAATTGCTATTTAAAGCTGATCTGCTGCTGGACAGTTTTACACAGCTGTATCTGATGAGGTCTCCTAATTCTTGTAGTAAAAAACCTGCCTGTACCCTTTGTGTCTACACATTTCAAACAATGCTCCCCAATTAAAAATGTACCATCCGCGGTATCTTAATTCTTTTTTTTTTTTAAAGCCCCAACCTGTGCTCTTCATCTCTACTGTAGTAAAGTGTACCTAACCTTGCTAGCCTGTGCCACGCAGTGTCCTCAGAGCATTCTGTGTCAACCTATGACTACAGTGCACCCTGAATTTCCATGATACCTGTGTCTTCATGCTGCCTCAAGTAAACGTTTCCTGGATTGTCTCTCTCTCCCTATTGGTATGAACCCCTGTCCATGACAACAGGCAGGGAAAACAATGCAAACTAGGCACTAGCATCACAGAAAGGAAGTCCTAGAGTCTACTCTACTTTGTTCTTTGGAAAAAATTAAAAAGGCTGCACGCCCTTCCATGGCAAAGGGGAAGGGCAGGAAGCAGTAAATGGAGGGGGAACGGCAGCATGGTCACGCGATGGTGGAGTGAGGATGTGTGTCTCTGGAGCTCCGCACCATCCCGACTGCAGTCTGGTCGTCACTACCTCCCCAGCCCCCCTATCATGCCCAAGGGGGCCAGGAAGACTCAGGGCACAGGACCGGTGACTCAAAGCTCCTTAGTCCTGAACTTTTCTCTCCCCAGGCAGCGGGATCTGGAGTGCAGGAAGGCCTTAATATGGCGCCCGTACCACATGGGTCTGCAGAGGCGGCGCGGGCGGGAGAGCTCCTGGACGGTCCTTACCCCTCCTTTCGGGTAAGTGTCCCAGGGAGCTGATGCCCCCACCATAAATGGACATCCACAGGGATGACCCGGCCTCCTGACTGGAGGACATGGTGTCCCCCCAGGCCGAGTGCATCGGTCCTCCCGGCCAGCATATTGGATCTGGAGGCACAGTCTTTTCTGGCTACCCTGACTACTAAGAAGGACATTCAGCTGCTTTCTTTAACGTTGCAGCAGGCTTTTAAGGAGGAATTTCGGGAGGTTAAAGATACTCTGAACTTGTAGGAATTTGAATGCCTTTGGGCACAGGTGAGGGCTTTGATTCAGTGCCTGACTGGGTTTGACCCTGCTGGTTATCTGTTGCTCCACTCGGATCTCTCTAGGAAACGTTTCAAGCGCTCTTTGTTGGTGCACTTGCTCAATGTTGCTCGGGCCTGCATTCCGGCTCTCTGGAAACAGGAGGCTCCCCCTTCTATCTCTACGTGGTTATCCTGGGTAGAGGACATTCACTCAATGGAAAGTATCATGGCGGCAGTCTGGGGTCAGGAGGTCCAGTTTCACCAGAAATGGATTCATTGGTCTCTCTTTACTTGCTCCAGTGATTATGTTGCCTTGCTGCGATCAGTGGCTTGAAGTCCCTTCGTCGTTCTCCTTTTACACCTCTTCTCTACCTTCTCTTCATCCCCCCCCTTTTTTTGTCTTTTTCTCTCTCCTTACCTTTTCTTTTCCCCTGTCTTGGATGCTACTGCTGTTTGTTTATGACAATAGACTGATCTGTTTGTACTAACTTTTGGACCAGTGTGCTATACTTTGCTGTTTTTGAAACCGATATTGAATCTCTATGTAATTGTACCGCACCTGGTTCGTTGTCTTATCTGCTGACATCCACTCATGCGTCTTAATTTTGTATACGTTTGTACTCTAAAAAAGCTGTTTAAATAAAGAATGTTCAAAAAAATGGAGGGGGAAAACTATATGACCATGGGGGAGATCAGGCAGCAGCAAAAAGCATTGAACTACTACTGCTATAGGCTGCCTGCTGTTCCTCAAGTCTCCCAAGATTTAAAATGTAAAATGTTTAGTGATGTACTGTGTGATGCTGTCATTAGAAGTGGACTACAAAAGGAATTATGCATGATATATAAACAAAAAAAAAAACAAAGGCAAATGAAAGGAACTTTAAAGGCATCAATGGCAAAAATAAAAAGACATTTAAAAAGTTATTAAAGTTTTATTACAAAAATATTCAATTAAAAACACAGTGCATAATTACACAAATTTGGTCCATAACATGATTCCAACAACCAAGAAGTAATATGGTTACTTAACATATGGCAACCCCGACACATTTCAATTCTTAATATTAATCTTCCTCAGGGTTATAAGCCCGGTAGTTGAATCTACAAAATAGACATACATATCAAAAAGTAGACATACGCATGAACATATGAACAGTATATGCATAAAATGGCAATACAAACAGTAGTAGATAACTTACTGGACCAACAATAAAAAGGGCACTATTAGCATGGGGCTCAAAGATCCACCTCCTATAGATGGAACTCAGACTGCAGGAACACAAAGGACACCAAAGAATATCTCCCTTTTTGTCATTAGACTTCAAAAAAATCATGCTAAAGATAAAAAATATAACAATCAAATTGAAAAATTGGGGTCGGGATTGTCATATGTTATGTATCCATATTTCTTTTTGGTGGTTATTGGAATCATGTTACGGACCAAATTTGAGTACTTATATGCACTGTGTTTTTATTGGATATTTGTGTAATAAAACTTTATACATTTTTTAAATCTGTGTTTATTTTTGCCATTGGTGCCTTTAAAGTCCCTTTCCTTTGCCTTTCTCTTTTTTAAATTTGGGATGTCACACCATTTCATAACCAGAATGGGCACCTATTATACTTTTTGTATAATATATAGTTTTGAAGGGCTTAGTGATACTTTAAGCTACTGCTTTGAGCTGTTGTGCACTAAATTGAAAATGGAATTGTCCCAGTTTTCTGAGCTAGCATACTGGGACATATTAATATACAAAGTACTGTGTGAAGGCAAAGAACACCCCATTCCTTGCCCGCTTAACAGGGGGAGGAATTAATACACAAAAAATATTAAGTACAATCTTGTGAGCTGCTACTTCAAATATCAAGTACCAAAACAAATATATATATTGTACGGTGTAAATATTAGCAGATCGCTCGCACCATACACATATCCATACAAATGTGCCAATACTTATAAATATCAATAACAGTGCCACGCTCCACTTAAATCTAAAGTACTGAATATACAGATCTTCCAACAAATAATTTAAATGTCCACATAAAATCCGTGATTCTCTATAGGCACTATAGTGTAGCAATCGCGTAATCCTTGGTTTATCTCTTGTGATTTTATCAAACCAACACTTGTACACCTCCACCAGTTGTGTTCTCATCTTATATATATGACCAAACCGTTAAGTGAGGTCATATAAAGCATGTGTCCCTTTATTTGGACTATGATGAGATGGGATTACTATCCAAAATGTCTGGCTCCCCTTCACTTCTCTAGTTGTCCTCCTCCATCGTTTCAAATGCCAAGAAAATTAATCAAAACATAGTGCTTTATCCTTATAAAAAGCATTTATTTAATATAAGCTGTATTCCACTCACATGTGTAATATAATAAAGCACTTTACACAAAGATTAATTGCTCCAAATAGCCGCTAGTGATTCTAGCCTGCTGATACCTTTTCCTCTGTTAGTCGAGCGTCGTGACGTCAAAATACCTCCCCTACATGTTACACCACAAGGTCACGAGGCTTCACCAGGAGGCAATGATTGGACGGCACGGCACTCATTCTTTTTATACAGGGACCACCTGAGTGCCATTTTGTTGTAGTCTGTTTGGTGGTGGCCGTATTCCTTTAGCTTACTCTGTATTGGATCGGTATTACTGTAATATTACTGCTTTCGCATTTAGTTTATAACCCTTATTGGTATTTTCACCAATATAATAGAATCAAATATTACTGGCTGAGCGCATATATGTAACATTAGATATCGATATATATTATGATACCTCCACCTATGCACTGATCATGGTATCTACTACTACCCAATGCAACTGGCATAATTTGGACAGCATACAATCATATGCAATAAAACATATACATACATATGAGCGTGATTGCATCATTTAGAATCAAAATCTAAAAGAATTAAAATAAAATATGAATTTTTTTTTTCTAAAATTAAAAATATAAATACAAATGAAAATAGATATAAATAGATATAAATAAAATTAAAAATGTAATATAAAATGTAAAAT